TACTCTACTCTACTCTACTCTACTCTACTCTACTCTACTCTACTCTATTCTAATTGAATGCAGTTTCTCTTTTAAATAAAAACCCTGCATAGATCCCAACACTCAACACCTGATCATGAGGAGGCAGTTTAGGCCGCCTGTTTCATGTGGGGAAAGGTGAGCTCTGTCCTGTCTAAGCTTGGCAGCAGTGAGGCTGTCTCAGGTTTCTATGGGCCTACTTCCCTGCCCAAAACGGCTGTCCCCTTATTGTCTCTGATGCGCAAAGGTGAGGCAGGAAAGAAGGAGGCAGGCTGGTGACTTCCCACTCTTCCCCTCAGGCGTTTTTTTTTTTTTTTTTTCCTGACAGGTCCGCAGAGCCAGTAAACCGACTTTGAAAAGGGATTATTCATGCTCCGCACAAGGTTGGTTCCTTTTCTGCCTGAGAAGAGGGGGAAGAAAAAGAGTTCTAAACTAAGGACTGGCAAACAGGCCAATCTGGAGGCGTTAAAGCGATGCAGACGTGGACAGCTCCACAAATAGTTGCCGTGGGAAGCTGGGAGAGCCGAGGACTGTGGCTGAACGTTGGTGCTTCAGACTGTCTTTGCCACAGGTGCCAGCCAAGCACGTTTTGTGCTAAGCAAGAACCAAGTCTCAGTTCAGTCTGTCCGAGGTTGCATTGTGTGCCAGTACAGGTAGAAGTGCTTGGCCCGCAATCAATGCCCCTGCCCTGCTTTCTGCCCCCCCCCCTCACCCCCGCCCGGTTGTGCTTAAAGAGGGAGCCCGACCTTTCTGGAGAAGGGTGCAAATTAAGAGGTTAGCGCCAACCCACCTGCTCTAGGGAACAGCTCCCAATAACCGTCCTGCGGTGCAGACACCTGTCAGGAAATCCAAGAACAAGGAAAAGGGGGGGGGGGCAAAGCACATCCTAACAAGGCGGACGGGGTAGAAGAGAGGGTGGTGCAGATGAGCCCATTCTGAAGCAGGAGAAGCCCCCCCCCCCCAAAGACAGCAGGGGTCGTGGATATGACACACTAATTTTGAGCAGCCTCCTGCAGCTAAAAAGGTATAAATCCGTAACAACCCACCCCAATGTACCACTGAACCTACTCTTCCCGCGAAGAAGCATTTTTGGTTGTTCGTTTTAATTCTCTGTTTTGGGGACCAAGAAGACTCTTGGTCTGTTAATGTCTCTTTCACTGCAGTGGCCCTTTTCCTCTTGGCCCTCGGCCTTCTCCTTGCAGTAGGTGAGTGTATTAGCGCTTGGCCCCGGGCTGGTTGAAGGGCCAGGAGGTGCTAAGGAGGGCTGATCAGAGCCTGAGAAAGGCCTGCCACTCAAAGGGCCCCAGAAGCAGCTTAGCAACTTGGGGCCCAATCCTTGGGATGGATGTACCTTCGCACCCTCCACCACGGCTTTTCTACGTGATTCAAAGAAGAGAGCAGGGAAAGGAAGCGGGAATCCTATTGAGAACGGTGGGTTCGACTTCTTTTACAAGAAATCCACGCCTTTCCAAGGATCCCAGGACGTGCGAACAGAGAAGACCGATCGCCTCCGGGATCTTCAGACCAAGCGAGCGGGCCAAGGCACCGCCAAATATGCGGAGACCCAGGTCGAGACACCCGGCGTCCCCTACAAGAGAAGCGCAGCCCCCCTCGCCTGCAAGGGGAACCCCCTCCCGCTGAGCTCAAAGGGGTTCGGCACGAGAATCCACGCGGATGGGATGTCCGGGGAGGCCCGGCCAGCGGCCAGTTCCTCCCTTCCCCGGCCTCTTGTTTCTACAGAGCCCGGGCCATCCAGGCAAGCGCCGCCTCGGGGGTCGGGGGTGGGGTGTTGGTCCCGCTGGAGCCTTTACGGGAAGCGAGCGGGGCGAGTCAGCCACGGAGCAGCCAAAAGCCCCCTGGTCCCAGGTGCGCCCTGCCTGAAAGGGCGCAGCGAGCGCGTGCAACGCAAAAGTTTCTCCTCGCTCTCTCTCTCTCTCTCTCTCGCCCAAGCGCCGCTTAAGAAACCCGCGCCCCGCCGGTCTCAGGACCGCTCCCCGAGGCTGAACAGGTCGCCGGAGTCCTTGGCCTTTGGATGGGGGGAGCGGGAGGAGCGGGGAGGGGGTGGGGTGAGGAGGGAGGGGGGAGGGCTGGGGGGCTCCGAAGGATCTTAGCCAAAAAAGAGGCCATTGGAGGCGAGGGGGATCCAGAGCAGGGGCGATCGACGAGAGGGAGGGGGCGGGCGAGACGAGCCACCCCTCCCCGCCTTCTCTCTGGGAGGAGGGCAGAGGGAGGGGCAGGCACCAATGAAAAGGAGCCACTGGCTTTCCGAGGTGTTAGGGAAGGGGGACTCAACTTCTCTCCTCCCCCCCTTCCTCCCGGTGCCTGTTGGACGCGAATTGAGCAATGATCTAGTTTACCTTCCCTTCTTGGAAGTTCTAGCGATTGGCGGGATCGTGGCTGCTGCTATTGACCCAACACTTTCCATCGAGGAGGGGGGGGGACGGTGGGGGAGGGAAGGCGGGGGGGAAGGAAGGAACCGCGAGAGACGCTGCCAAGGAAGAAGAGGAAGAGGAGGAGGAGGAGGAGGAGGGGAGTGCCAGCATCTCCCCCGCCAAAGGAAGCAGACCGGCGGGCGGCGGCGATGGGCTGGCGCGACTCCGTCGGGACGGCCAGGCGGCGTTCGCTGGCGGTCGGGATGGAGACCTTGCCGAAGCTCTTGCTGGTCCCGCAGGCGAGGAAGACGCGGAGGGCGGCGGCGGCGGTGGCGGCAGCGTCCTTGGAGGGCTTGACGTCGGGTTCCGGAGTGGCGGCAGCGGCGGCGGCGGCGGCGGCAGCAGCGCGAGGTTCCCTCTTGGTCGAGCTGTGACCGGACGCAGCGGGGCCAAAGCATCCCGAACGGCGCTGACCCAAGCGAGACGCCGGCCATGGAGAAGAGCCGGCAGCAGCAGGAGCAGCTCCCCCCGACGGCGGCCAAGAGCCTGGCCGTCGCGCGGGGGAACCTGCTGGGCGCTCCCAAGCCCCTGGCCTTCTCCATCGAGCGCATCATGGCCAGGTCGGGCCCCGAACCCCAAGCCCTGCCGCTGCTGCCCCACTTCTTGCAAGGGGCCCCCAAAGCGGCTGCAGCCGCGGCGGCGGAGCACCTGAAGCCGCCGCCGCAGCAACAGCAACCGCAGCAGCAACCGGCGTTCAGTCTGGGGCCCTCCATCCCCTGCATGATCCCCTTCGTGCCGCTGGCTTACGAGCCCTTCGCCAAGGTGGGCTCGGAGCCCAGGAAGCCCCCCTTGGAGCCGCCCTCCTCCTCCTCCTCCTCCTCTTCCTCGGCTCTGAGCTGCGCGCTCAGCCTCAAGCCCCAGGCCGCCGAGCCGCCGACGCTCAGCTTGCCCCAGCAGCCGCCCCACTACAAGCTGGTTCGGCCTCGGGTGATCAAGCACTCGTCTTTCCACGCCCTGGGCGCCCTGAGCTACTTCAGCCGGGCGTCAGAGCCCCAGCCTCAACCGCCGGGCCTGAGCCTCCACCCGGTGGCCTCTTATTTCCTGGGCTCGTCGCTGCCGGCGGCCTCTGCTTTGCAAAACTCGACGGCGCCCAAGTCCTACCTGGCCGAGCGCAACAAGCTCCAGGCGTTGCCGTCCGGCCCGGAGAAATACTCCCAGGCAGCAGCCTTCAAGGACCTGGCACAGGCCCAGATGCACAACGCCGCCGCCGCCGCAGCAGCAGCCGCCGCCGCCGCCGCGGCTCACCTCCTGGCTTCGGAGAAGCTGCCCTTCAAAGGGGTGTCGGCCGATTTCAGCCGCGGCTCGCCCAGCGCCAAGGCCAAGGTCTTCACCTGCGAGGTCTGCGGCAAGGCAAGTCGCCCGCCTGCGTGGCCCCCCTCCTGCCCCCCCCCCCCCCCCCGGCGCCCGCCCCGTCCCAGCGCGCCCGCCCCCCTCTCTCTCTCTCTCTCTCTTTCTTGCAGGTCTTCAACGCGCACTACAACCTGACGCGCCACATGCCGGTGCACACGGGCGCCCGGCCCTTCATCTGCAAAGTCTGCGGCAAAGGCTTCCGCCAGGCCAGCACCCTCTGCCGCCACAAGATCATCCACACCCAGGTAGCGCGCTCTCTTTCGCGGGGCTAAAGGGTCGTGAGCCCACCACCCTCAACACACGCCTCGCTCTTGCTTTGCCAAGGCCCGGACCTCCCCCCCCCGCCCAGTCCAAGTCTGCCGGCCAGGCCTTCGCCGTCCTTTATGCCCGTCGGGGTTCTGGAGGCTGACCCACTTTCCCCTCTCCCCTCTCCCTCTGTCCCGCCAACGCTCGCCTTCGCCTGAAACAGAAAGAGAAAGGGGCGAGGAGGTGGACAGAGGTGAAGGAATGGGGGGAGGGGAGGGAGGGAATGGACTCTTGTCTCGATTCGTATTCCCTCGTTCTCACCACCCTTTTTTTCCTCGGGGAAATGTCCCCCATCTCCCGGCCTCGCCTGAAATCAGGGCCTTGGTTTGCGCCTCCGATTCGCGATTGTTCCCAATTTTTGGAAAAAGCCTTTCTCTTGATGTGTTGTTGTGTGTCAACTACGGGGTTGGGTCCGGCGGGCAGGTAATGCGAACTGTGCTTCTAAACAATCTGGTTGAGTTAGGTTTTGAGAGTTGTTGTGTGAAGGGGACTCAACGCTGGACAAGCGCGTCCTTTAAATCCATTTTAGTCTCGTAACCTCCGGAGGGCTCTGTCCCTCGAGAGATCCACGGCACACACCCGAATCCGCCCAAGGCCACAGATTTTCCCCCTTCGGAGCCAGCCCCATCGCATCTCCTCCCCTTGGCTTCCCTTCCAGGAAGGTGGGGCCCCATCCAATAGAGCCTTTGGGAGGGGAGACCAACGGCGGGATTCAAACCCGCGGTGGTTGCTCTCTACCTCGCGTTACAGGCGCGGGATGGCCAGGGCCCGGTGCGACCCCCCCCCCCCTTTCTCCCAAGCGCGCCGATCTGAACGTGGATCTGCTTTTGAGGTTGTTTTTTGCTCCCCCTAGGAAAAGCCCCATAAGTGCAACCAGTGCGGGAAAGCGTTTAACCGGAGTTCCACGCTAAACACCCACACGCGGATCCACGCGGGCTACAAACCTTTCGTCTGCGAGTTCTGCGGAAAAGGCTTCCACCAAAAAGGTAAAAAGCAGACCGCCGAGAATAGAGGGGCCGATTTTTCTGCCGCTTTGCTTCTGGTGGGAGGCCTGACCAGCAGAAGAAGAAGTGGCTGGGAAGGGTAGTTTTACCCTAAAAACTACCCATTCCCAGCCGCGGAACATGGAATTCAGCGCGTCTGGTTTGGGAGAAGAGTCATTAGGAAATGGTACTGTGAAAATGTAAATGCAAAAAAAAAAAAATGTATATATATATGGAAATATATGAAATTGTAAATGTAAAAAAAAAAAGTTTTTGACGTTCGTTTCCCAGATGTGGGAAACCGTTGCTGTCCATTTTTGCATAAAACCGTTGAGGTTTTTTTGCCTTGTATCTTAAATGTTTGAAGTTTTATTTTTCGATGTATTTAATCCGGCGCGTAGATAAGAAATGTATTTGATTTTTAAATGTTAAGCATGATTGCGACTGTAATTCCACAGGTAAAAAGTCAATGAACAAAAGAATGCTTACTTGAAAATTAAGTTCCGGGGGTGGGCACAAAACTTCAAAATTACTGCCGCCCATACGGCAGTCTGAGAAATATATTCTCGGTCTACTATTTCTTTGTGAGAAAGCAACAAAATGATTTTCCTATTCAGAAATGACAAAAATGACAATCTAAGGTTGCCTTGTCTCCCCCAGTTACTGACGAATAATTCAAAAGTGAACGGGATGTATTCCCCAGGGAACAAAGTTAAACTTAGAGGCTGTGTCAGTGGGGGAAATTGTTCCTCCTGATCTTTTTAACTCCTCCATTTCTTCTGAGAAAAATACCCGTTGCCGTTTTTAACCGGAATAGTAATAATGAATAGTAGCTAAAATAGTAGCTAAAAACAGATTTACCGGTTTAGGATCAAACCCCCACTGCTTACAACGGCTATGTAAATATGTACGCTATTTTCGCTTAAAAGTTTCATAATCCACTTTTCGGAACTTTGTTCTGACAAAAGCTAATTTACTTCTTTACATCCAGGTAAGACAAAAATGTCTCTGTGCATCCTTGCGTCCTGATTTAATGGGATAAAATCGTTAAATTTTGTTTGCTCGGTTCCGCTGGTGCGGGTTGAGTATCTCAAAAACGGGATGCTTAAAGAGAAACGGATTTCAGCTGATCTACTGGGGAAACCCTGTGGATCCCGCAAAAATCTATTTTAGTGATTAGACCCAAGACTTTGGGAGATTCCAGTTTGGGTTTTCGAGCTTGGGTTCCAGTTGATCATGGTGAAATTCTGTTCTGTTGCTGCTGAAGTTTCCTGTTCAAAGAGTAGGCAGGCAAACTACACAAAGCCCAACTGAAGTATTTGTTGCGAGGGAACCCTGCACGCAGGGCGTGAAGTGCAGCAGGTTGTGTGAATGCTGGTTGATAACGGGGTCTGGACTTCGAAAGCTGGCTAAGATACGAGGTGCAGATCCGCGAAAGACGGTAAACCGAGCTGAGTTACAAGAACCTCCCCATTTGGACTTCTCATCTCAATCAGCCAAATGTTGAGACCGGATGGCGCATTTTTCTCCACCTCCTCCCAAGGGCCCAGCCCAGGAAGATTACGGGAAGGTCTGATAGTATTAGAGGCTGTAAGCTCTTCCACGTAAAGCTGCCTTTTGTAATTAACCAACGGTGATTTTGTATTATTATTGCTATTATTGCTATTATTGCTATTGTTATTATTTATTATAGGGAACTATAAGAACCATAAGCTGACCCACAGTGGCGAGAAGCAGTTCAAGTGCACGATTTGCAACAAGGCCTTCCACCAGGTCTACAACCTGACTTTCCACATGCACACCCACAACGACAAGAAGCCCTTCACCTGCCCCACCTGCGGGAAAGGCTTTTGCCGGAACTTTGACCTCAAGAAACACGTCCGCAAACTACACGACAGCGGCGGGGGCGGAGGCGCCTCTCTGGGGCTCCCTCGCGGCGGTGGCGGTGAGCCAGACCTACCGCCACCGCCGCTGATTCACCGCCCGTGAAGCCCCCCCCCCCCCCTGTTCCCCCCCCCCCGCTGCGCCCCCCCCCCCCCCCCCCCCCTCTCGCACTCGCTCCCGAGGAAGCCGCGCTGGTGCTGGCAGAAGCAGCGGGACTCTGTGAACTTTGGCTCCTTGGTTGCTGCCAGGGGGAGCAAAAAAGACTGCAATCGCCGCCTCCCCCAACCCCGACCCCCGATTTGCGGAGGGCCAAGCTCCGGGCATGTATTTATTGAGCCTTGTCAGATCCAAGCTGCGGCCCACTCTGTAAAGGAGGAGGCCTTCGCGATGGCCTCTCCCTCTCCCCCCCCTCTCCCTCTCGTTCCTGCGTGTGTGTGTGTGTGTGTGTGTGTGTGTGTGTGTTTGGAGCAGTAAGGCTGACTGCGGGCTGGTGGTGCTTGAGCTCACCCGATAAGGCAGGGGGGTCCCCAAACTTGGCAACTTCATGACTTTGTGGACTTCAACTCCCAGAAAATTCTCCAGCCAACTCTTGGGAATTGAAGTCCACAAGTCGGGAGACCTCTGCGATAAAAGAGAGAGAGGGGTGCCGGGGACAAAATGTAGAACGAGTGTCTTTCCGCGTGGTCTCCTTTCCTCCCCACCCACCCCCTACCGTTGCAGCCGGTAGGAAGCCATTTGGAGAGGCGCGCGTTTCGGAAGGATGCACTTTCTATTCCAGTTCGATTTTTCAAGTATGTATTATTTCCAAGGGTCGGAGCTGCCTCAGAAAGGAAAAAAAAGTGGAATGGGAGCATCCGGACACTGAAGTCCAGAGTCTGTTTTTATCAGGCCAGGAATTTAGCAGGCTCCTGCGCTGGCCTTTGGGAGTTTAGGGATTTGCTCTCCCCAGAAGCGTTTATTTCTGGAAGCAAAACACTTCAGGACCCCTAATCCCTGGGCGGGCCCTAGCGAAGGGGGCGTCCTCCCCTCCTCCCTGGAAACAAGCCCCGTTTTTGTGGGGGTCCTGAAACCAGAATCAAAATCCCTGCCCATTGGTTTCTTACTCCTGAGAGAAGCCCCGAAAGGGGAAATTGGTCCCGGTTCTCTTGAATAATCTGGATCGGTCTCGCCTCGTTCTGTACATCGGGTTTTTCTCCCAATATCCCGAATGCGGATCTCGCTAAGACTCCCTTGAAAAGCCGACTCTTTGAAAGGGGTGCAGGGGACTCCTGAAGGAGCGGTGGTGGCCCCTTTCCCCGAAGCGCTCTTGCCCCCCCCCCCCCCCCCCCCCCCGCCCTCGCCCCCCCCCCCCCCGCTCCTTTTCTTAGCTCGAGGAGATTCCCCGCGTTTCAGAAAGGGCTGACCCGAAAGGCCGGTCCAAAAGGAAGAAGGATAGATTGATCCCCACTGAAAAGCTTTGGGAAGAAGCCTCAAGGCGAAGAGCTTTGCTTGGCTGCTGAGATGCCCATGTTGTTACCTGGTGGGGTCCCATCCCTTCTGCGGCGCCCCTTCCCCCTCCCCAGGTCAGTCCCGACGGTTTGCCTGGACCGCATGTGTGAATGAATGGACGCGGGTGCGGGTTTTGCGTGTCTTACCGAGAAAGGCTGAATTTTGTCACTAAAGATTTTGAAAGTGCCCCCTCCCCCCCATCTCCTTCTTGGAGGCCTCCACCGCGTCCCCCTTGGATCTGACAATCCCCCCTTTAGGCTCCTTTTGCTGTATATAGAGATTTTTATCCTCCGCTGTTGTTGGTTGACTTTGCCTGCTTGGTCGCTTCTGTTTTGTCCCTCGGGTTTCTCGATTGATTTCTCCATTGTGGGTCGCTTCTCCTTTCGCCCGTTCCCACGGCCCACCTTTCATCTCCTTCATCCTACTGTACACCCCCCCCCCCCCCTCCCCCCCCCCCCCCCGCCTTGTGGAGGTTTGTACGGATCTGAAATTTCCAGTTGTATTTTTTTAAATTATTATAATTATGATTATTGCACGTGCAAAAATAAAAGGGGGGGGGGAGGAGGTTTGGATCTGGTGGCAAATAAAAAAGAGGTGGTTCGCCTCTTTCAAACGCTACAAACTGTTTCTCCCGCCTGGCAAGGAGGAGGAGGAGGAGGAGGAGCCGAGGGAAGGGAATTCCTCTGGCTGGGGTGGGGGAGAGGAGGGTCGCCCGCCAACCTCGGAAGGTGAGCCAAGCAAGCAGAGTTGCCAACGCGAGTCCTTGAGAAGCCGAGCCGGGCGCGGTTGTGTTGTCTAACTACGAAACGCTCCTTGTCTTCCTGCCAAAACACGGACCTTAACTGCTAAAAGAGTTTAATGAAGACTCGAGGGTAATTAGTTCGGATTGATCAAAGCTCCTGGCCTCGAGAGACGATCCTCTGTAAACCTGGCCCTCCCCCCTCAACACACACACACACACACACACACTTGGCAAAAGGAGAAAGAGGTGAAAGGGAGCTTTTGTCCTCCCGCCCTTCTCTTGCAAGCAGCCGGTCGGTCCGGGGCGGCGGTGGGGGGAGGAAATCTGCCCCTTCTGTGATCCGAGGTGAAAGTGATGCCGGGAGGGGGATGCAAGCCCCGGCATTCCCCCCTCTCGACCGGATCGCCCCTGGAGTGAGAACCTCTCTAACTCCAGGCAGAGGCCAGATTGGGGGATCGGAAGCCTTTCTCTGCCCTTTTCAAGCTTGCAACCCACTGCCCTCTCTGCTTAGGGCAAGGGGTTCCCCCACACACACACAAAAAAAATATGGCAACTTGGAAGACTTGTGGATTTCAACTCCCAGGGAGTTTGAAGTCCCACAAGTCTTCCAAGTCGCCAAGTTTGGAGATCTTTGGTTTAGGGGCTCCCCCTGCCGTTCCCCCTTACACCCCCCACCCCCACCCCAGCCCCCTCGCCTACTCCGCTCGCTCCCGGGGGGGGGGTCTTTGGCGGCGGACTTGAGAGCCGGCCCTGCCCTACTTGGGGACCATGGCTGGGCCAATAAAAGATCATCTCCTCCTGGTTCCGAGCTGGG